TAAGGATGATCCATAGGAAGCTCACACTTGAAGGCCATTGGACCTTTAACAAGGACCATGGTTAAGAGGCGGCTAGAGGAGGCTTCTACATAAGAGGTGCTTCATAGACCTATGCTCTTCATGAGCATTGAGTATGATTCCTCTTATTAGTTCCTTAGCTTCCATTGTAAATACGTTGTAAATATTTGTACATAGTAGTACTTGTATAGGTGTATTTTGCCTTTGTGTATTTGTGAGACACTCTTTTCCTTATTATAGGTCATTCCTTTAGGATTTCAGGGTATGCTGTTTTGGAACTTTTGCTCCATTTGACCTTGTATTAAGGGTCATTATTTTTCATATTTTTAGAAGTAGAAGTGGGGTGACAAATAACAAAGAGTGTTGGTAAAGCTAGCAATTGGGCCTGTAGTGGGCATAAGCAAATTTTTACATATTAGATTTGTTTTGCTTTATCTAATCCAAGGGCTTGACTTAGCTAAGTCTCACCCTTATTAGGTGAACTTAACTAAGCCAAATCCAACATTTTTGGATTAGCTTAAGTGGAGGAAAACAAAGATGGCCGCCCAAGCCTCCTTTGGTCGAGTTTGTGTGTAGCTTCTCCCATACACTTGGATAGCTTATGCTACAAGCTTCAAGCTTGGCTTGCTCCCCAAGATTCAAAGCTAAAGCTTGTTCCACAAGCTTCCAAGTTAGTAGACTGGTTAGCTTGAGTGTAAGAAGGCTAACCATAATTTTCCTTGAACCATAGTTAGCCTAGCTTGCACCATAAGTCACTCCCTCACTATATAAGTCTTTCCCTTCACTTTGTAAACACTTTTGATGATATTTATGAGAGATTTCTGAATTTTCCTCTGAATTTTTATCTTCCAAAAGTTCAAACCGCTTTGATATTCATCCTAAAGGGTAAAACAATTCACTATCATAACTTGCAAATTGTATTTTCGTAACTTAATCTTTTATGACCTCGTGTGGACTGTTTTAGCAAAATGGCTCATTTTATACCATGCCACAAAGTGGATGATGCTAGCTATATAGCTAAACTTTTCTTTAGGGAAGTGGTCCGCTTGCATGGTCTACCCAAAATAATTGTGTCCGATAGGGATGCTAAGTTCCTTAGTCACTTTTGGAAGGTACTATGGGAAAAACTAGGAACAAAGCTTCTCTATTCTACTACTTGTCATCCTTAAACTGATGGTCAAACCGAAGTAGTAAATAGATCCCTATCCACTTTGTTAAGGGTACTCCTCAAAGGGAATAAGAAAACTTGGGATGATTGCCTCCCCCATCTAGAATTTGCATACAATAGAGTAGTTCATAAGACTACTAATCTTTCACCCTTTGAAGTTGTCTATGGCTTTAACCCAATAACTTCTCTTGATCTATTACCCCTTCCTAATACCCCTTCCTTGTTTCACAAAGAACGAGTATCTAGGGTAGATTTTATTAAGAAATATCATGAAAAGATCAAGAGCCAAATTGAAAAGCAAACACAAAAATATGCCAAATACAACAACAAAGGAAGAAAGAAAATCACTTTTGAAGTTGGGGATTGGGTTTGGCTTCATTTGAGGAAGGATAGGTTTCCCACTCAAAGGATGTCAAAACTAAACCCTAGGTGAGATGGACCATTCCAAGTCCTTCATAAAATAAATGACAATGCATATAAATTAGACCTTCCTTCTGAGTATGGCACTAGCTCATCTTTTAATGTATGTGATCTCACACCATTTTTAGGAGCTGAGGATTTGGATGAAGATTCTAATCTGAGGACAGATGCTTCTCAAGAAGGAGGGGATGATGGAGGACCATCCTTGAAGACACATGTGGGCCCCATCACTAGGTCCATGGCTAGGAGAGTTGAAGAGGAGGAGGGAGCTCACACACCAAGGGACACTCTCCTCATGATCATAGAGTATTAGTTCTCTCCTAAGCCTCATTAGTATAGGGTTTATTTTATTTGCCAATTTTACCCTTGTATTTTGGGGTGTTTAGGACTTAGAATTTATTTTCTTTTGTATTTCCCATTTTACCCTTGTATTATGGGGTGCTCTAGATGATTAGGGTTTTAATTTTGGGCTAGGGTTTTAAATTAGGAGGTGACGCATTTTTTGGTGATCTTGGACCTATTTTTGGTGTTAGAAAGGCTTAGGCCCAAGTGGAGGGCAAAGGTTGCATGGTCTTATCATGCACCTAGATATAGCCAATCTAAACCCAAAGATTCCATCCTTGGCCACCAAGTTGCATCTAGGGTTAATTTGCATTTCATTTTGAGTGCATTTGCCTTGTGAATTTCGGCCATGCATACTCCAAATGCAACCCTAGATGCCTCCCCTCCTATAAATACCCAATGCACCACACCTTGTAAATACTTTGGATTATATGATATTGAGTGAGCATTTTTTGCCTCAACATCTCTTCCTTAGTCACTAGGTTACCTTTGGCTAACCTTCTCCTATCTCCACCATTGGAGAGTGAGAAACCTAGAGTGGCCTCCACCTACCTTTGGAGTGAGCCAACCTACTTGAGCAACCATACACCTCCACCTACACCCTTAATCATCTTCACGCCTAAATCCCCCTTCACTCTAAACTTCCATATCTCTTTTCCCCTTTGGTGAGCCTAGATCATGGGCAAGGTGACTCTCTTCAACACTCCATTATCAACCATGGAAGGGAGGTCTCCATCACTAGGCTAGTAGAAATCCAATGTTGAAGTGCCAAATTGAGCACTGCAATGACAAGGGTAAATGATCGAATTTGGTCTTGGGATCTACATGAAAGTTGTATCCTTGAATGTTATCTTTCCGATGGCTTTGGAATCACCTAAAAAAGAGATCTAGAACTCCATTATGACCTTTTTAGTGAGCAAAGCTCAAGTTATCAACAATTAGGCAAAATGTTGTGGTTTTTGAAATTTTTAGTATAGTATATGATGAAGTTAGGACTTGAATTCTTCATAAGAATTGTAGATAAACTTTATAGATTTCATATGAGATAAAGATGAGTTTGATTGGATTAGTGGAACTCCAATTATTTTGTGTTATGTGGAAGTTATCGTTGTATACTAAATGATGATTACATCTTGAAAATGATGTGTTAATTCCCTTATAGCATATGGTAATATATGATGTCCTAAGTTATTATATGATGAATTATTTTATGTGGATGATGATGTATGAGGATGTTTAAAGTTGTTTACGTTTTTATTAAAGTTGTTATGTTGGGATTACTATACATGTTGGAAGTTGTACTAGTTGTTGGAAGTTGTACTTTAAGTTATTTAGGTTTTAAGTTATTTGGATGTTTTCAATTGATTGTCAAGATGTTGCTTATGTTGATGTATGCTTAAAGTTTTAAAGCTACCTTGTTGGTAAGTTGTTATATTGCTTTGATGTTTTAAGTTGTCTTACAGTTTTAAGATGGATGCTAACAATTGTTGAAGTTGAAAGCTGTAAAGTTGTATGTTGTATAAAGTGGTAAAGTTTTGGACATGTGGTTGAGATACATGTCTAATTTGAGATATATAGATGCTAGAGGTGAATTAAGTTGTTTTGAAAGCTACTTCCTTCTAGGGTCTATGTGGTTTTGGTATAGAAGTAATCAAACCATATCTTAATTGAATGATTAATCGAGTAAAGTACGAAGTCGGGGGTTAAAATCCCTAACCTAGTATCGGATGGTTGTGGTATTTGGAGGGTAGTCGAGGGCTAATCACATAAGGGACTTAGTTAAGCTAGCTAATTTCGTAGTAAGCTCATACCCAAACCATTTTACCTTGACATAATACCATGCTTCCTTGCTTAAATGGAAAAGTTTGAGAAATCAAACTAAGTTGTCTATACCCGACTCTCTTATGAGGCCTAACACTATCTTATATCTTACCTGGTTGAGATAGGTCTAACGTTGTGATTCAATAAGAACAAGTTACTTAAACTCCTTACCTCAACTGTAGGAGATCTCCTTAGTTGAAATGCATGATGACGCATGTTGTTGCTATGATGATTAAATGTTTTAAGAATGTTGTGATGCTGAATTGATATTAAGTTATTGTAAACTGACTTTTTGTGCATGAATTGTTGTATATTGCAATGTCTTGCGTTGTTAGTATTGTGGATGAGATGGTGATGTAAGATGTAACTCGCTTTATTGATGTTTTGTATTAAATATAAGTTGCTTCTTTTTACTCTAGTTTACCCTAGTATGTTTTCATGTGATTTGAACTGAGATGATCATATGTTGTATAAGAGCAAAGCAAGGATAGGTGTTTGATGTTACTACATAAGTGGTCGTTAGAAGGATGGCAGAGTTGGATATATTTTATTCTACAACATTGTGGTGCTATGTGTAGAAGTTGCTTGTTAGGCAATTGTAAGTATACAATTTACCTTGTTGGATCACTGTACTTATATCATATATATCTTGTATAGTTGTATTGTATACAATACATGACCTGATCTTGGTAAATTTACACTCATGAAATTTTAGTAGATATATGTTTAAGTAGTTGTGTTGTTAGTATAAGGATTATGACGGGTCAACCCATTTGATAAATGAGCCAACAATTTCAACTTGAACCAGATTCATTAACTTGTGAGACTAAGGGTCATTTGGATAAACTTCTCCAATATCACTTCTAATAGAAAAGTAGGAAGTAAAAAATGAAATAAATTTTCCCATAAGCTAAAACCAGTTTATGCATAAATTAATTTATATAAGTTTTTTCCTTCTAGCTTCTCCAAAAATCTTAATTTCAGTTTGAGCATAAATTAGTTTTAGCTTATGGATAAGTTAATTTTAATTTTTCTTTCTATTTTTTTCTCTTTAAATGCTTGTGGAGAAATTTATTCAAATAAACTCTAACTTGATGAACTATCAAATTAAATTATGAATAGTTTACGAATTTTCTAGAGTCACTTCTAACCCTAATCTCAACCACCAGAATGATGGATACACAAAAAACAACTTTAGATATTCAACATTTCAATCTATGAATCTTTCATATTAACCAAATTAACCTTTCTACTTGCATTCAAATGCTAGTAGTTTTTTTTATCACTTGCATGAGGAAATGCCATGTTGAAAGCAGGAACAAAGATGAGCTCAACGGAATTTAAGTGAATACGATATAACATTCTTCATACAGAAAATTCGTGTCAGCTAAGTTTCTACTGTAAACCTTACCCTGCAATGTTTCTTTATGTTTTCCTTTCTCGAGGAATTGGAATTTTTTAGACATGATTTCAGTGACGGTCCTATTTGTTTACTTGCTGACGGAGCCACCATAGCAGAACACTTGAATCCTCTTCTTTTGTGATCAAAAGGGTCAAGCCAAAACCGAACATTAGCCTCATCAAACCAGGCCTTCCTTCTGGCATATTGATATGCAACAACTGCATCAGCTTCATGTAAAAAAACCACCTGAGCTGAGCCAGTGTAGGAAAAGACTCTTGTTCTTGAGGAATCTACTGAGCCAAATACTCTAAACTTCTCTATTAACTTTTCCTTGGATGGTAGGTTGAAATTCTTAGGGAACTTCATGTGCAAAGATTTATGAGAAAAGGGAACATGGGTTTTTGATAGCTGTCCAACTTCTGAATTGAATACTGAACAAGAAGCAGTACCTTGGTACCAATCCTTGCCCTCCTCCACCAAACAATCCCTGTAAGATAATTCTGTTATTGCAGACCTTTTCAAAGTGAGAGGTGTTGTATCACTATTGCAACTCATTTGCAGTCTTTCTTGGTAAACAGATGCGTCAGATCCTAACATACCTTTAACTTTTGCTGCATGGGCATTAACCTCACACTTATTAGACAATGATTCACAATTCTGACCTCTTTTTGAATCAACATTTTGAACCTGATCTGTGGAGTTCATAGTAGTTTCAAAAGAGTATGTTGCGGCCTGATTGTCTTCCTGGATACTTCCTTCTGCTTCAAGCATCTTAATGTGTGAGATCCTAGGTCTGGTATGTTCTGAGATGTATGTTTTGCTTTCACTTTCTTGAACTTGAAGTAAACGAATTTGACCAAAAACATGGGATGAAGTTGATTTATCTAGTCGCCTTCGTTTGTTGTTAAGATATATAATGGTTTCTGTGTCAGTAAATCTGCAGTAAAGCCCCAGTGCATGATCTTCTATTTTACTGATATAGTCGTTCAAATGAGTCATAAAGTTGGAAGGAACTGAGATGTGAGTTTTACGCACAGTAGAACATTTTCCAAAGCAGATATCAACTATGTTATAATCTGATATCTTTTTAAATCCCAGAAGGCTCTGTCTTTCAGGTTTTAGGCTTTCTTGCACCATGTAAAGGGGATCTAAAGCAGGAAAGTGCATAAGATTCTCTGAAATAATCACAAGTTTATTCTTAAACAAGTGTTCAGAATTTCCTTCCCACACAGGAACTGTTGAGTTCAATCTCCTAATAGCACCAATAGCTATGTTTTCCTCCCCGTTTTTGCATATGATCTGACATTTTCCCTTGGTTTCCAAATCTACAGATTCTAGCGTATCTGAGTGCGTGTTCTGACCCAAAGATAAACCTGGAAGCAGATTTCACATTTTCGCCTATGAAAACATATTGATAAAAATTATAAAAGAACTAGGTAAAATCAATAAATGACCTCTGTAATTCAATAAGTTGTACACTGAAGTCGGAAAAAATGTATAAGGGTAACCGGCTAACCGGGCAACATCATCACTGGAACAGGCAATATAGTCATTTCAACAGAAGATATACTAAATTCAAGATACTACTCATCATATGGGACCTGCAACTTAGTTATTTTAAAAGATGGAAGCCTTAACTCATTATTAGAATACTATTCATTTCAAATCACTGATGATCATCACATCAAAAATCAATTCATTTCATTTCTATAATCAAATATAATTTCATAGAGTTCATCATTCAAGAGAATTACGCTCTAGGAATCTTAGATAACATACTATACTTCTCATTATTATCATATTCTGTAATTTCTATGAGAAAGTTTAGAAAATATACTCAAATCTATAATTCAATTCAGAATTTTTTAATAAGTAATTCTCCCTTTTCTTACTTCCTTTACTTGGTCTCTATGATGGTGTTGAAACTCTATTAATTCTTGGTATTTTCTTTGTTCTTTCTTGACATTTTCTTTGTTCTCACAAACACTTTCTTGAAAGACCAAGTTTTTTGAAGATACATAAAAAAAACAGTCTAGAGAGAGACAAAGAGATATGCTTTATCAAAAACCAACTTTAGCCTCCATAAATTTTTCAAAGTATTCCTCTTTAATGTAAAATTACCCTTTACGGAGTAAGAAGGAAGGGAATTAATTTTAATTACTTTAAAATGATTCCCAATAACTCTTAATATATTTTCAATCTAATAACCATCACATTAAACATCTTTTCACTAAAAGTCATTCCTTTATTATATGAGTCATTATTAGATTAAATAATCTAACACAATCAATTCATTTCATTTCTTAATAGATCCCGGATTTACAACCATAAAATGCAGCTTTGCCTGTGAATGATATTTATCCAGACCAGTTATGGTCTCCAGCTGAAGTTTTTATAAGAACAATTTGGATCACTGCTTGCTCAATGCTCATGCATACAAGCTTAGTCCAAAATATAACAGATTAATCAAGAAAACTGAGGCATGCCTCAACAATTTAAAATCTAAATTAGGAAATAATCATTTTCTCGTGTGTTTTTCTTTTCTCTGCAATCTCTCAAAATCACAATGCCCTAGTATTCCACAAAAGGCTCAAACCTCATTCACTACACTGCTAAGACGTTCATACTAATATAAACTCTCTATAAACAAGAATATTATATCCAACTTACTTCCTCTCAGTAAAAGAACCAATCTCCCACCCAATAAAAATACAAACCAGCAAAAGTATTTTATTATGTTATAAATGTACAAAAATCTTGTGTACCAAAACTATCTTCTTTTTTGTAAGAAAGTTTATCACAAAGGAATACTAGTACTTTCAGATCACCAACAATGCCGAATCAACATTAACCTAAAAGGGGACCAAAAACATAATGAGATTCCCTACATTCTCGCATTCATGAATTGGAATCGTTGGATGAAGATCAGACAGTACAAATCTCAGATACACATTTTAAGTTAAAGTTATCGAAATAAAAGGAGTCGCCTGATCTTCATCTACCAGCTCTATGTGGGTATTCCCCAAGCGATCCCAAAAAAGCATAGTAAATGCAGTAATCAAACACCTAAATAAAAATTCCAGTCCAGAAAATAAAATGACTAGATATTATTTCCCACAATTTATATTAAAAAAAAAACGTATTTTGGATCTGTCTGTTCAATTTCTCATTTCTTGTTTCTGTAAATGTAAAATAAATAGTCTAAGGTATGCTTGGAAATTGGAAGTCTACATTTGGTGGAAAAGAAAAAAGAGAACACAGTTTCATTTATAATTAATCTTCTCTAGTTCAATAATTCTTTAACTAATTTGTAAAAAAAAATTATGTTTCTTAGTTTGTGTAAAATAGTATTAAACTATTATTATTATTATAAAGGAATAGAGGTAGGATTTGAAAACAACAAATATAAATTTTTGTTGCTTATATTCAAAATGGGGTGAAGTAATCTTTTATCAAATTGGTCTTGTAGTTGAAAACTTAAAAAACTGATATGAACAACATGATACACATTTAGAAAGTAATTGGAGCAAGTAAAAGCATATCCAGAATTTCCATGCTAATTCAACTATGACCAGCAAATGCAATAATCAAAAGCTTTAATAAAAAAAATAATAATAATAATAAAAAGGTTATCATTTGTTCAAGTCCAAACATCTCATTTCTTGTCCAATCAGAAACATAATAAGAAAATTAAAATAATTATTAAAAAAAAAAAAAAAAAAAAAAAAAAAAA